ATCGAGCAGCCATTAAACAAGGATATGACAACTATTGAACGGGTAAGACATGATTACATAAATAGAGAAAGCCTGCATTGATTTTTTTAAGGAAACTTCAAACAGCTTCTGTGAGTATATTATCGTAATTTACCTCATTTAGTCTTTACTCTACTTAACCCCCAAGTTCTTTAGTGAGTACACATGTGATCGTAACCAACATAAGATAACTTCATATGCAAGTTGTTTTCTTGTCAATCTGCACCTAATATTCCAATAGTTACTCCATTTTGACCAGAATTTTCAATAGTATGTTGAAAATCTCTTAATCAAATTTGAGGTTTTTACAAATTTATTTGCTGAATTTTTTGGATCATTCATATATCCTACTTCATGGAATCTACTATTTTATGAGATGCTATGTTTTTATTATCTCTTAATCTATTTCTTGTAATCTTGATCCATACCCTATTTTATATGATCTACAATTTTATAAAATGCTACTTTTTAATTACTGCTTAAACCTACTTCTATTTACACCTTTTACTTCTTCAGGATCTTGAGCTTCTTGAAAACATTTGGACAATGAATCAAGATTGGGCATACAATTGGGATACTTGGAAATCTAGCCGGTTCTTTGATGTACAAACCTCAGATATGGAAAATTTAGCCAATATGAACTTCCGAAAACTGACTAAAATGGGGCGTGATTTAAAGGTCAAGTGCAAACTACGTTCTATTTATTGAAGTGCCTAAATTCAGAAAAAATTTAACCATATATAAATAATTACCATATATTTAGCTCTACCTCTAGTCCCTATAATTATGACTCTTATTTCTGCACCCTGATGGATGACTAAGATATATATATATATATATATATATATATGGAAAATCATAACTATATTTAATGACGAAAAAGGTGTATTTAAATGAATTCCTTTTAATTTTAGATTTATTTAAGAACTTTTACTTTTCACCTCAGAATCTACTCTTTCCGGACATAATTTATGATTTTTTTTCGATAAGCATTAATTTTTGTGGGCCAAATAAAAATTTTAATGAAACTATTTTAAGAATTGCCGCTGCTTAAACTAATAATTAAATATACTAATAATCTTGGTAATTTGTCTTTTAGAGTTATTATCATGCTTTACTACAGGGTTGTTATTGCATGAGTTTAATCCCTCGGAATATTTATAATGCAGAATTTCTATAAATGGACACTCAACATACTTCTCAATATACTTCTGCTTCTCGATTAGTTATTTATTTACGTTAGGCTTTGTTTGTATGTTAACTAACAGGACAAGAGTTGGGAGGTGATCGAGGTTAGTCGCACGCGAGTAGACCAATTCCGGCGGACTATGCCACTTATCGGTAATTTGCGTAATCCTGCTATGCGACAGCGACACTGGAAACAGATAAAACATGAGATGGGCCGCGATTTCGATGAGACTTCTTGTGACTTTACTCTTGAACGAATAATTGAATTCGGATTTGATCAATACGCTGATCTCATTAATGAGGTTTCAGGGGCTGCTTCTAAGGAGCTTCTGATTGAGACTGCTCTCGAGGCAATGGAAGTACTGTGGCAAGGCATCGAAATCGAGATCGTGCCATACAAGGATAAAGGCCTTTTCAAAATCCGATCATCAGATGAGATCTTCCAGGCCTTAGAAGATAATCAAGTAGGCGTGACCCGAAAACCCAGCTTTTTTATTATCATCTAAATAAATATAATAAACTAATTAATTTTTTATGCTCACTGAATTAGAATTTTTCAGTCTATAGTTAGGTTTTAGGAACTATCAGTAGATCACTTTAAACGAAATAGGGTGAATGTAGCTCTTAGATTAACTTTAAAATGTTCTAGATATGATAAATTCACAACTAACTGATCAAGATGTGATTTTCATACTTCACATGTTCTGGAAGAATAGCTAGATTTGACTTACATCTGAGGTGTTTGCTTTCATTTATCTTATGGGATGAAATACAGATGTTATAGCATCAGTCTGTATAAAGTGAGTTTCAAGTTGTTATGCTAAATTTTGCAAACTGTTTGTTCTAGAAGTTTATATTTGTATAGCTTATTTCTTGAAAGTGTCGTATTATCAAATGAGTACTCTTCCACTGCATTAAATATCTATTTTTTATATGAGGATGAGTATTGAATGAGATTTTAGACACCCTAGTTCGTTTACGGAGATTTAGGAATTGATTGCGATATTTCCCACATCGAGATACCTTCCCATTTTATTGTAGGAAATTTCGTCTTTCGTCCTTAAATCACTTTAGACAAACTAGGATGACCAAATTTCCTAATAAATATTTACTCAAGATCTGATTTCAACTTGGTACTTCCGATAGAGCCACTCTGACCCCTAAGTACATGCGGTTGGGAAATACTCATCCCGAGCATATGACCCGAGATCGATTGCAACTACAGTTGGCCTTGTTTTACAATAATGACCGACTTCTCACTATTGTGCGACCAAAGGATAGACTTATTTCTCTTCCTTTACGTATAACCTATATGCTCAGGTGAATTTGGAGTTATCAGTGGTAAAAAAGTCAAAGAATAATGCTGAAATTTATCATCAAACATCATAGCATGTAAAACTTGATCAGATAAACTGCATGAAACATTTTTGAAACATTATAACCTGCTGAATTTATCCCTTACTTGTTTTACGCGGGTTTATTTTTTGGAAAGTTGTCTGTATTCCTCGGCCTTTATATTTCCCCCGTAAAATAGGTTCAACTGTCCACGATGAAAGCATCAAGGTTCGTAAAACCATTTGAAGTACTTGTAGACAACTGGGAACGCGGCCTGTCACAAATACTTGAAACAATTGAGGCTCTTCTAGCTGTACAGCGTCAATGGCTGTATTTGGAAACAATATTTCTTGGGGAGGATATCCGAAAACAGCTACCTCGAGAATCTGCCGAATTTGATTTGGTTAATGCCAACTGGCGCCGAATAATGTTTGATATTAATAAAACTAAGAATGCTCGAAACTGCACCAGAAAGCCAGGTAAGCTTGATAAGAATTGAATGGGAAAAGTCATTTTTATATTTGTAATTCGATAATAAAGCGACAAACACCTATTAGTTGGGAATGGTAGAGCCATTATTCCAACACCAAGGATTATCTTAATTCAAAGCCTGGTCTTACCATTGTTCTCCACTGTGCTTTCTTGACATACTATTTGTTCCCTGAGTCTTGTAACCATTCGTAAAGGTATTCACAAAGAAGATAGTTTGACAAGATTTGCTGCTAGATTCGACCTCATATAGCTTTTGTATTAATACTAATTCGTTAATTGGCAAAACTGAATCCATTATTTCATCTAGATTGCAGGTCATTTAGCCTGCCGTTACAGCCTAATAACCAAGTGGTGCTTGTAATAATTATAGTCCAGCGATAAAGTACATATCCCTGTGTTCCTGCCGTAGCGCCTGTGAGAAAGACATACAGGCCCATATTAAGAGGTTATCTGAATGCAAGACAGCCAACAAGGGTATGCGGCTCCAAAAATCGAAAGTAGCTGAACATATTGCTAGCACAGGACACCAAATAAACTGGTCTAATACCAAAGGCTTGGCTGGATATGAGGGCTATACCAGCAAGAGGAAAATTAGGGAATCTATAGAAATCAACAAACAGCAGACACAATGAATAGAAAAAATGAGTGTAGGAAATTAAATGGAAACTACTTATGGCTGTTGGCTAGGTTTAGAGTAAGGGAGGGAATGAGAAGTACCGCCGATCAAGAAGAAGCTTGATTAGCCTTGAATCTGGTTTTGTCTCTCACATTTCACGTAATTCAAGATCATTGCATGCGCACAGCACATGGGCAATGGAACACAATCAAATGCGTTAATATTGTGGGATCTGAAATCATTTATCAATTGCCTTCTCATTGCCACTCTAAAACTATTTATCTGAGAATTAAAAATATTTATATGCTATCATGAGGGTGTGCATATTTCGAATTTTTATGATTTCTCTTGATTTGAATTATGTTAGTAACTGCCTCAAGGTACTATGATAAATTAGCTACAATTTATTCTCTGCACTTGAAATCATTACCGAAAAATAACAAAACTATGTTGGTTAAAGTAAGTGTAAATTAGACCGAATAACTGGTTAAAAATTCCTATACATTTATTCTCTTCGCAGGGCTTCTGGCTCAACTGAACGAAATGATCGGTCAGCTGGAGGAAATTCAGAAGTCCCTTGACATGTACCTCGAAACAAAACGTCAAATCTTCCCTCGATTTTACTTTATCTCAAATGATGATCTTTTGGAGATTTTAGGACAAAGCAAGAATCCTGAAGCGGTAATACCGCATCTGAAAAAGTGCTTTGACAATGTTTTTTCTCTTCGATTGGAGAAGGTTAGTCGTACCAATTAACTAATGGTTAGTTTGGTATGTTAGGCAACATTGTACCATAAAATCCATCAAGTAATTTTTATTGGGCGGAAACATTTTAGACAAATTGCAGATTTGTGCGGATAAGTCCTTGGCCTGCCTTCCTGCGACCCCGAAGAATCGTTTCTGAGTTGGATCACGGACTTATTCCCACAAATCTCTTATCACAGCTCCAAGGCTACCTCTCCGATCCAGGCGAGACCAACTTACAAATCTCTTCTGCTTGCCTCTTCAGACGAAATGAAGGGTATTCCAACATCAATCTATTAAGGGATTCTTAGACAACCATTTTTTCTGCATATTTCTTTAAATTGTATGTTTGTCTGTAAGAATATTCGAGCGTTGGTTAGATAATGCATCAACTGCAGAGGAAACAGTTTATCTATTCGGAACCGGGTCTGAAATTGGGCCAGATTAATTATTGTGAATTATTAGTAAGTTAAATGTTTGAACACCCCGGGCTTTGTATTTTAGTGGAAAATATAAGAGACTACATAGTTGAATTTCCAAGTTTTTCTTTTGTTTACTTACTACAGCCTTGTTTCGGATAGACTAACATCTTAAATGTAGACTTACTGTATTGGATAAAATATGTTGTATTTGGTTTATGTATGCTCCAAAATTACCAGTAAATCTTTCCACATCACAGGTTGCACAAGGTGGTTAAGAGTAATCATTGAATTTTCTAACAATGTTAAGAGTAGGTCTCATATTTCCATGGAATTTTGCATAACCTTGATGAGAGTGCCTTTTGGGATGCAAGGATGTGCGAAATTCAATTGGAACGTGGGGCTTACTCGTATGACTGCGGGAAAATTAAACTATTATCACCTCATGTAGGCTACGATGAATAGAGCCCCTTATTTTTTTTGAAATCTTTTATTTTGTTTAGGATGCCTCAAAACTATCAATAATTCAAGAATAAAAGTTTAGACACCTTAAGGTGCTTAAGGTGATTTAAGGACTGATACTGGGAGTTCCAGACTGTGAAGTAAGTAGGCCTTACGGTGCATCTAAAATGTCTTTCACATGTCAATTGACTGTTATTTTGAACTCTCCTAGGTTTTATCAGCACCCTTAAGGGGATTATATGCTGAATAGTAAGCATCGTTGTGGCACATCTCTATACCACACAGTCACGGATTTCAAGGGGTCACAGGGCAGTTAAAACTTTCAGTACAGACAAGGCCTTTCAATGAAGAAAGAATTTGTCTTCCGGTAAAACTTAGCTTATTATTAATTACTTATTTGTTTAGGTTATGCTTCATTTTCACAACTCGGTCGATTATTAAGATTAAACGCTGCACTACTCTCGTTCAATACCTGCTGGGGCGCTGGTGAGACCTAGAAGGTGTTAAATTTCTATCCATCCAGGATAAGTGCGCTTTTTTGGAAACAAGCCTATGTGAAATTAAATGGAAAGGTGAAGCCCACTTATGCCATGCTGGGAAAAATAAACTATCAGTCCTCCATCACCTTATTAGACCTAGGGGGAATAGAGATTTATTTAAAATCTACTGAGAGTTTCGAAACTTATCTTATTTGAAAATAAATGAAATACTCCCAAAATAGTCTTATAAGACAGCTTGACGATGATCTGCAATATGTTTTTGTGAATCCTTAAGCTTCACTCACTTTAAGGGCTAAATGTCAATTAAAAATAAAAATAATGTTTCTTATTATATAGATAAAAGATCCAAGCTAGCCCTGTTAAGTTGAATTCCAACTATTGGAGTTTTTAAATAAATTGTAAAAAAGTCATGAAGTGCATCCTCCTAACTTAGTATTCTGCCAATTAAAATTATTAGGAAAAAGAATTGTTTTTTTCATGTTTATATTGCCGATTTTATACTAACGCTGACGCAAGTTTCACCATAATTGAGCCCTTGATAAATTTCCCTTTAAAAGTCGCTCATTG